GGGCCGCCCGTCCCGGCAGGCCTGGGGCCCGCGCGTCCCGGCTCGCTCCCGCTTCGGCTGCAGCAGCAGGTGCCAAGTTCAAGGCCGCGGAGCGCAGGCGGAGGGCTCCCTCTCCAGGCTCGCAGTCATCACTGCCCGGGGCGCCCTGCTCCACTGAGCCCCCGCAGTACCCACCGTGCAGGAGACGCCCAGCAAGGCTCCTGCCCAGCTTGGGACGCGCAGCCCAAGCAGGCAGGTCTTCCAGAGCAAGGTCTTGTCCCTTAGGTGTTCCTATGCCCCACCAAGGAGCAGTGGGAGCCACGTGCCCTGAGCAGAGCCACCCAACTACACAAGCGGTGCGTTCGTCTGGGCTTCCCGGGGACCATAAGGGGACGGAGAGCAGCTGGACGCCAGCGGAGGAAGTTAAAGTGACCAGGGATTGGAAGGGAGGCCAGCAGGACACTGTGGCAAGAGGAAGGGCAAGAGCAGAGCAAATGCCTATGTGAGCTACAAGGATGGCCTTGGGGGACCACTGACTGTCACAATGCTCTCATGTCCTTCCCATCATTGGCACGTAGCTTCTCCCATGTAAAAGCCTCAAGCCAAGTTACCAGCTGCAGCAGATGAGGGTGAGCACATAAGCCAGAGTCCAAGACCAGACAACTGTGTCAAAGGCAGCTTTGGGGAAAGCGAGTGTCACGCTCACAGCTCAGCAGAGACTCACCAAGCAGCAGGCGTGCCACCCCGCTTAAAGAAGAGCTCCACATGGGACCATTTCTATCTACAAAGTAATGAATATTCTTCATTAATCGACCAGATACAGTATATAACGAATGGAAAGCACGCAGATCAAATGAGAAGGTACCATACCAAATCCTTGGCCCTTCTGTTGGCACTCTCCCTAATCCTTGTCCTGATTCTGGTGAGTAAAACCCAAACATGATAGCGGCGGAGCGTTCCTCGTACACCTACACAGCTCCAAGGTGCTTGGTCGCTGCCTTCTGACCCCAAATTCTTCTGCTTTTCAATTACAAGCATGTGCAAGGGGCAGCACGGTGGATGACTGACCCTCTCTCTGGCTGGAGAGCTGGAGATGTGAATATGTATCAGGACGTGATCTGCGCGAGGTGCAGCTTCCTTCTTCCTCTGGGGCTGGGAGAGCTGCTCAATGTTAGGCACTACTTTTACATGTCATGGGGCAGGATCCATTCAAGTGGTGGCAGGGGAGATCAGGATGGTGAGTACAGGTGATAGGATGACAGCACAGCTTCAGGGCGCTATTGGGCTGGGGCAAGTGGTGGAACAGGAGGTGACCTGCACAGAGAGCAGTCACCACACACTTAACATTAGTAACATAAGGCAGCAATAAGGCAGTAGCTGACCTGCAAAAACAATAGCACAGCGGATGTGTACCAGGAGAGGGATGGGACAGGGCCTGGAGATACTGCAGGCAAGATCCCTGGCCCAAGTAACAAGGACATGATTATTTCAAGCTCTGGGACAGGATGTGACCACGGAAATGGTACAACCCTCTGTTGCTACAAGCAACCTGTTGGGGCTATGGAGTGGGTGTGCACCTGCCCATGAATCCAGATTCAACACTGCAAGTGCAGTAGAGCAACAGTGGCACGTATAAGGGGAGCTGGAGGTGACCTGTCCCACAGCAGAGCCTCAGGAGTGCACAGGGTCTCTGCTGAAGCACATGTGCAGTATCAACGCATTGTGGTAACCGCTAGGGACCCAGCTGCCTCCCAAACCCCCACACCAGACACTGCATAGCCCAGTGCAGGAGGCAGCGCAGCCGCAGTGACCTCAACAGATAGCGAAGGGTTCCGCAGGGTTCCAGCCCCCACCTCCAGCCAGGACGGTAAGGTCCAGAGGTGACAAACAGGGAGTTCTGGGGTGTCCATGGGAACCTCAGGAACAACTCCTTCCTCCTCAGCCCCTCTGGGCTCTCTGCAGATGCTGAGCACTCAGCACCTGAAGCCCTGTCACCAGTCCTGCCCATACCCCAGGCCGAGAGGCCAGACACGCTCAGTGAGCAGCAGTCCCTCTTTTCTTCATGTTGCTGCTCCGTGCAGCATGAGGAGTGTGAAGGCCTCCCCTAGAGTCCGCTCAGCACAGCAAGGAGCCCTGCTGATGCCCCAGGCTCAAGTCAGACACACGATGAGGTGCCCTTTGAGATCTTTGAAACGAAGGCAGCGACTGTGACCCCGCACAGTGGCACCATGCCCAGGATGGGCAGTTGCTCACCCTCTCCTGGCCCCACAGGCTCCTTGGACGCGTGCTCTGCCACAGCTTCCTTCAGGCCTCTGGGCACTGCTCTCCCTGCAAAGGGACTCCTGAGCATGAGGCCAGCTCCACTTTCCATTTTTCTCCAGACAGAAGAGGCACCAAGAGTAAAAGCCTCCCAGCAGCTTTATTAATGGTACTAGCAAAGCCAACTCAGCTGCCTTCCTCCTTTTCCCTATTGGCATGTGACCCCAGTTCCTTCCAGCTCTTCAGCAGCTCTATCTCCACGTGGTCCTCCTCGCCTTCCTCGTCCTCGCCAGCCACCCTGCCCAGGAGCTCCAGGGCAGCTTGCAGGAGCCAGTAGCCCAGGCAGGCGAGGGTGTAGGCAGGGCCCCAGGTGAGCTCCACCAGCAGCCCCTGCAGGTGCCAGCGGCAGGTCCCCAGCACGCGCCGGGCCTTGATGAGCTGCCTCCGCAGCGCGTCCTGGCAGGAACAGGAGGGAGGTGATGACCCAGCCTGGCACCCCGGGGAGCCACGAGGGCAAGCGGGGAGGACGGGCCACCCCCACCAGGCACCGCGCGGGTCGGGAGCCCTTCCCAGCACTGGGGCCACCCCACGCGCACGGCTTCCAGGAGGCCAG